ACGGAGAAACACTATGAGAATGTGCTCAAATRATAGGTACTGCAGTAATAGTAAACACGATCTTAGGTTGTCCATGCATATCACTTCAGTGTGTCTGAGCTGGGATTTTGAATCCCCATCAGGAAAATGAATGATTGTAGACTCTGCCCTTTCCATTAAAGCAAACCCATACAGAATACAAATCTTTCTCCATCCATGACTCCTGGATTGCTGTGGAAGGCACAATGTGCATCTAGAACTTTACTTACACTACAGCTATTATGTAGGATAAAAGCTAGTTAGAAACTTTTGCAAGCTTTTCTTTATGAAGTCCTAGTAGCCCCAATAAGCATGTTTGTTAAAAGTCCTCTGTTTACGATGCTTTGTTGTTTCAGTTGGGGTTTTTTGGGTATTTTTGGTTTGTTTGTTTTTTTTTTTTTTTTTTTTTTTAAAAAAAAAGAAAGCTAACATATAAATGGAATACATTTTAACTCTTGAAGGTATTTCCTTCTCCTTAGTTCAGCTAAAGCTCAAATGACAGAAAAGGTAAGAGTTTTGTAATTGGCTATTTTTACTGAAGCATTTTAGATGGCTATTCGCTTCAGCCTCCTCTCTTCCTAAAGCTGGCTGTTTGAAAAGCTGTCCAGCATAACTGATGGAGAGATGATTCCACGTTTGTCTGCTTGAGTTGCACTAAGCATATCTCTGATCTGCTACAGGAGAACAGAGGAGTAAGTGCTTGCCAGTGATCTCCCAGTAGGCAAATGCACATTGCATACGTGCATTCTGAATTCCAGTAAGGCTGGCTTTTGGTGTTCCTTTATGCTTGTATAATTCAACAAAGTTTGACTTCATCATCAGCCAGATGAGCRGTCTCTGCTTCAGGCATTCASTTGTACCAGCTTAGCTGTCTGYATGTCTGCTCAGCCACAGAGCGTRGAATGGGAGCAGGCTGCTGAGAGCAAAWATCACTTAAGCTACCATTGCTGCCAAGATATCTACACAGCCATAATGCGAATTTACTGATYTACAGCTTACCTAAAAGTGAGTCACAGAGAATTTAGGAATTACAAAAGTGCAAATATGTTTTAAAGACAGGTCAGAATAGCTTTTGTAAGATGTATCAGAAGAGCAGCTTTCTGGTGCTGTAACTTACATCCACCATTTGTGAGGTGATTTTTAAAGTATGGACTAATTAGAATGCTAAGCCCATTGTATTATCAAGGTTTTAGGTGAGTGTGAAATACTGATCTAATAGAGTACTCCATTTGGAAATTCATAATTTAATAGCTTAAATTACTAACTGGCTATAGAAGTGTGAACTACAARCTTCACCTTGCTGAACTAAACTTTGACTGGAACACCAASTAAATKTATTCCAATGYGTTTAGGGTGTTRTTTCTAAAACACMGTGGAAAGATACTTTTGCACRTTTTTCGAAACCATATTATATTRGCTGCTTCAAAAAGGATAAAGTACCTAAATCGATTAAAAGAGGCTTTAAATAGTTCTCCTTACTTTAACTTTAGTATGAATGTTTCAGTCCAGCTTCCATGTTTGGAAAGGGAAAGAAAAACAACCAAAAARCCCCACACCCACAAATCAAGACRTTGTAGTCTWGGTTGATTCACAGTAAAATCACAAATCAAGACTTTGTTCAGTCTTGGTTTTATATAGAACCAATAACCACATAGCAAATGTAGACAGAATTCATTATCCTTTTATTACAAAGGATGAACAACTCTTGGGTGTAGGTTGTATATTGTCTCAAGTGAGTTAGCAGAAATTCACTCTTGGTTTAGTTTGCACTTCATCTRTGCTTACACTAAGGAAGAACTACTGCATGAATTTGCAGCACTAGTGCATTCCTCTGGTGTGTGCACTCAGCTTCTCCAAAAAGTCAGGTAGCCCCATGGATRCCTCTTTCAAGAAAGAGATGTTATCTTAGGTTTAGTGTATGATGGAAACATGCTCTTCGTAGGTTGCTGTTTACCAGCTACTCTGTGGCATATGCTGCTGCTGCTCTTTCTTCCTTCTTTTGTCTTTTGCAAAGACTTTTAGCATGTGTGTGTGACCCAGTTTACAATTCTGGGGGGCAATATTGGCAGTGGTGGTATTGTGCTGTCATAGGGTGGATCAGGGCACATCAGATTATAGCTCTTTCTRTGGACGTTCAGTCAKTGAGTTGGTTGRTTTGTTTGCTTGTTTTAAAGCAGCAATGATTTGATTATCCATGAAAGGTCAGAGTCCAGGTCTAGCTGCTTATGATGCAGAATAAACACAGTGTTTTTCTGCTACTTCTCTGACCAGAATCTGGAAGCTTACAAAAGACTGGATGTTTTTGTGGTTTTGTTTGTTTTAAGCATTAGGATTCAGCTTGAGGGTCATAAGTGCTTTGCTACCAGCATTATTAAGTGTGTATTTAATCATCAGGAAAACCATCATTTGATGTCTACACTCTGTAAAACAACGTGATAGGATTCGTCAAATCTGTCTGGACTTTTTAAAAATGTGCTTATTTTGGAATATTGAGTTTAGTTCTTTAGCAATKAATTACTTACGATGGTTTTGCCTGTTTGGTCATACCTTCTGAAGAAAACACTGTAAACAYGGTCAAATTCAAATGCTTTATTAGCCCAGGAATATTTAAGTTTTTCTCAATGAAAAACTGTCCTACTGTAGGGTGCTGGTATCTTAGTAGCAAGTAAGTTTACTGAATTAACTTAGTCCTACTAAAATATTACACATTTACATAGTACARAGCCTTAAGCAGCCCAAATAAAATGCTTAATACATCTTGTAATTTTGTTAAGCTTTTAATAGGAAGCATTCAGCTTCATTCTTGTGATGTAATTGATGATGAGTTTTCTGGACAAGACATTTACATTTGTCTATTGTGAGCATTTTGGGCACTCAAATTATTAGAAGCTGAATATAATGGTTTGTTATCCCAAAGCTGTATCATGAATCTGTATGTTTTTTCATACTGAGGAGAAAAAACCCATGCAGCTTATWTGGAGAGGTAAGAGTCGCTACTGTGCAGTTTAAGTAGAAGTAGTACCCCTTCGTTGCRCCATGTTCAGTGGTGGAGGGTATATCTTAAGGTATTTTGGTGTTTTGGGACTCTGAATACTGTATTTCTCGCTTCTGAGAAGTGATATAGTGTAGATAGAATTTGTATAAATACAATCTTATTCAGAGATGTAATGCTCTTAGCCCAAAATATTTATTTTTGAACCTGTCCTACTGTAAGCAACCTGTCTTCTGGCTAAAAGTCATCCCTGTCTAAGGAACGTTCTTACATTGTCTGTGGAGTAGAATGTGGAAGGGCTTACAGCTCTTGCTTTTCAAAGGTGTAATGCTTTTGCTTTTGTGAGTTTGCTACTTTTAAAATCCACTGGATTAAAATCAGAAGCACTGAGGCTCCTGAGCACTTCATCATGCAAGCACCTTGTAACCCTCCTAGCTGGGGTGGGGGTCTTCTGAAGGTGGGAGACTGCATGGAGGGAGCTGTGTCCTGGCCATGTGTTTTGTGTCTGTGCCCTAAAACCTTCTGAGTTTAAGGAGAGGGAGTTAAGCCATTTTGCACAGCTTTGTGAATCTGTGCTGGGTATATTTTATTGCCTGAATGTAGAAACATTTATTCGTGGATGTGGAAACAACTTTTTTACTGAAACCTTTTTACCTCGGAGGGCCTTGTAGTCAAATACAGCAATTTAGGATACTTTTTCAGAGTTGATTAACGATTTAATGGAAGCTGCTTAAGGTGTAGTTACACAATACTTGGAACAAATATGAATTGGCAGCAGCTTCTGCTTCTGCATTTGTGTCATTGGCTCTTGTCTGATCTGACACTTCCTAAGCTGGTTTGGAGACCTCAAGTGACAGGAAATAATTGACTTTTTGTGGATTAGTTTGGTTCTTTGAACACTCCATCCTGTTGTGGTGTGTAAGAAGAGAGAATGCTGGGGAAAATACAGGGTTTGCAGCAGTGTAGAGCTACAGGCATAAAACTACAGTTCTTCAAAAGGTGACAAAGTAGTCCTTTTGAGCAATTTTGTGACTATGACACTTTTGAGTAGTTGAAAAGCACTATTTAGTGTTTGGAAGAGGCAAGCCATAATGAAATGTTGTCATAGCTTCGTTCTTCCATAAGTGGGTTTAAAGTCAAGGTCTGCTGTAGGTCTCCTTTATCACTCAGCTCTTCAGAGTACTGTTATCAGTTAAAATCTTCAATGTCAAATAAGGCTTGTATCTCCCTTTAGCCCCAGACACAGCTGGCTATTATCCAGAATTTTTCCTGCAATAGTTCCTTCTACCAGTGTACTCTTAYGACAACTTCTGTAAGATACAGTGGTATATAAAATTAAATACATAGACCCTGATCCTTTAAGGATTTTGGGCATTTGCATCCTGTTCGAATTGTTAGTTAATTGCTACAGTGAAATTTAAAGCTAAATTTCTGGTTAGTTTTATAGAAACTATTTTTAAAGAAATGTAATGATTCCGATTTGAAGATCTGAAATACTTTTCCAATTGAAGCTTATTGCTTTTGTTTTAAACTCCTGTGCATTTTTACATCTAAGGAAGAAGAATAAAGAGCTTGCAAATTTCACATCCTGCACATGGTGGGTTTAAGTCTTGTCAAACACTCAAGGAGTGTGCTCTGTCATCTGTGTAGGTGAATAAAATTRAGACATAGCACAGTGATKCTAGCAGGCGTGCAAAAGCTATTCCTTCTGTTACTGAATTTAGGGCCTTGAATGGCAGGTAATAGGCTGATGACTTTTTAAGTGCATGTCAGTGTTGAAGGAAATAGAGAAAAATAAAATCTGATTCTTTGTTAGCATAAATCTTGAATATGGTATTTAGAGAGTTTACTGAAAGGTCTTTGCACRTCCAGGCATATCTTTAGTTCAAACACTTCTATTTAGGAAAAAGTTGTATTCATGAAAAAATTTATGTACAAATCTGTTGTACACCATCTGGAGTAGCTAACTACTTCCTTTGTTTCTTTCTAGGAAATATCAAAATAAAGCAGATGTTGTGTCCTGTACTGTTATCTCAAGGTTTTGCAAGTCATTCTGTTACATGCTTCTTGGCAGCAGGAATGTAAACTAATTCTTTCAGCACTGAACTAGAACCTTGACAAGGTTAAAATTACAGGTAAGAACGAATTCTGTCACATGGAAATTTATGGGAATATGTAATTGCTTTTACTTTGATTGCATTTTTAATTTGCAATTTGTAATTGACCGTGGATTTAATGGAAATTTCTAAACAGAGTGGATAAATTATGTTTTTTCTTCTTTAAATGTGTTTGGATTTTCCTTATGTTATTTTTTAATGGGGAGGAAATATAGTTTCAAGTATAGCTTCTTTCTGTTGCAATACAAAGCATTGTTAGTAAAGAGGAGGCAGGGAAATGTAATTTTTTGCCACTTAAAATGTCTGCTGACCCAGATTTTGGAGAACTTATGTTCTCACACTGAAGACTGTACAGTGTCAGTAAAAGTCATGAAGTGTTTTGCCCACTCTGTGTTGAGATCACTTTACGGTCTGCATGTAGCTTTTYCCCTACAAGGTCTGTATTTCCTTAAATGCACTAACAGCAGCACTACTACTTAAATTACCTGTTTTAATCAGTTACAGCAAATCTCTCCATTTYCCTTGCAAGGTTCCCTGTAGCTTCAGCTTTTGACTCACCTTTTCAAGGGTAAAGGTTGATGTCCTTTTTTCCAGGTCAGTGAAAATGTTTTGRCTGCTGGTTTTCTGTCATATACTTTATCTGATGATGATGGAAAACTCCTATAACACTCTGTCACCTTCTTCTGAGCTGGTGTGTAGGGAACTAAGAGTCAATGTTCTTTGAATTATCTTTTAAAAAAGGATAAATACAATGCTATAAAACCACAGTAATGGGAAAAAATCCCACATGGCCAAAAATACCTGTCACAGAGAGTGCATRTTTTGATTTGTATGTTTCTGAAAGTTTAGTTCTGTCTTTAAACTGGGACTATGTGTTTTGTAGACAGTCTTTGAAATAGCTTTATTGCAGGTGTCTAATCTTCAGAATTGTGATCAAGTTAAGGTTTTTCAGTATTTTCACATTTTGGTGTCTTGGACAGCAAGAGTTGCTTGCCACTTTTCAATGATGGCATGCAGGAGTCTGTACTATTGGTCTGAAGCTGTCCAGTCTGTCTTACTCTGAGGTTCAGTAATGCACAGGTTGTTAGTCARTGACAGGTTTGTGCCAAGGAGGTGGTGTTGATTGTTCTGCTGCTAAAATGAAAGAAGGGGCAAATGTGGTTTAAGSGTTTTTGGTTTTGTTGTGTTGATTGAAGGTACTTAATTTGTAGTGATGTTGTAAAATTTGTAACATATTGAAAAAAGGCACAACCCTTCTTATAYTGTGCAAGTCGGACTTAATTTAGTGAACCTTTAGCACTCATCCAGCCTAGCCCTTGTGTGTAGCTTCCTCAGATTATTGTGTGAATCAAGAAATCACCCATCAGTTATGTAAATAAATGTTTATCGGTTTACTGTGGTTTTGCAGACCTGCTGCAGAATACTTACTCTGGTGTTTCAGTCCTGTCTGCTTAGGAACAACTCACTGATGATATGAATAGGTGATTGATTGTTGCCCTATTCTCACAAAAGTGTGTCTGAGGCTTTTTGTAAACAGGCTTTGAAAAAGGTAAGAGAAGTTGCCTTAAATGCCTACATTTACCRCAAGGGAGAGCTCACTCCTCATGACACCCTGTGTCATGCTAATGAGTGAAATTCTTCAGTTTTAATACCAGTAGTGTAGTGGATAAACTTTAGTTCTTTTTCTTCAAAATCTGAAGTGGTACTTCTGTAGTAAAAACATGGCTGCTGTTTGTTAGATTGATGATTGAAAAGGAGCAAAATAAATCTAACTCAAAATACTTGGTCTTTTATTGAATTTAGAAAACCAAAACAGCAGTTCTGCATAAAAATAATTATAAATTTTATTTGTGAAGGAGCACTTTTATTGTAAGTTAATGCTTTGCAGTAGCCAAGTGCCACATRTGCATCTGTTTTGAGCAGCCCAGTAAAGAAGTGAGAATGTGCTTATTGGCCATAGAAATATGAGCAGATATAGACAAGGAATTTCAGCAAATGTCATAGAATATAAACCTTGTTATAGTGTGGTCAGTAGGGATAGGCAGCAGTACAGTGCASACTTCCAGGTGGTATAGTAAAGCCACACTGAGTTGCAGGGTTTGAGTTAAGGACAAACAGTGTCTTCAAGGATAATAAGCCTGGACAGGTAATAYCTGAATTAACCAGGTAGGCCCACTTCACTGAAGTGTCAGTGCACCAAATTTCTGCTCCAAGAAAAGGGTACAAGAGCATGAATACTGACTTAYGCAGAGCTGTCTTTACTCTTAAATAAGACTTCAGCTTTCATTCTGTTCCTGGGCAGGTGCTGGCAGCAGAAGTCTGCTTTGCACGGTCTGGGCCCAATGTTGTATTTTATGAACGAGTCTGGGAATTTTGTTTATGTTGTGTTCTTGTATAGTTAATCTGTAACTCAGCTAAACTGTCTACAGATAACAAACCAGAGTGAATTTCCCAGTCTTCAGTAGTGTTCGGAGGAGGTCTTGATAAAGAAAAGCTGAATTCGTTACCTGAAAACCTGAGATGAATGACATTAATGAAGACATTGGCTACAGTAGTCTCATTCTTACTGAGAATAACATTGCATACTTCTTCATTTAAGTCCCTAGCAGGGCTGCCAATCTGAGTTAAGGGCTGCTGATAATCAGAAGTCATACGGGCAAGCACAGGATTCTAGGCAGCTAACATGGAAAAGCACTGCAYGGTTTTTAAGGTTTCCATTTGGCCACAGAACTGTGTGAAGTTGTCTTTTGTGATTTAAGAAGGTAAATGTGTGGTAAACGTTTTGTGACTAAAAAAATACATCAGCCTGGGCACTGATGACTTTGTACTAAGTGCTGTGATTAAAAAGCTGGATTCAGAGTCCACTTTCAATTTTTTTGTTAAGTTCATCTTGGATATCTGAGCTATGATCTCTGACTTTGTACATATTAAGCTGCATTCCAGAAAAATAAACCTCAGCATGAAGTGTGCATGGGAGACAGATGGTTGCTKCATAAGCTGAGCTGGAAGATCTGTAGTTAAGTAGCATCATCCATGTTTTAGTAAGGTGCAAGAAAGCAGACTATAAAATTAATCTCTGAAAGGACCACAAGCATATGTTTTTCTGTTGTTAAAAACATAGCTAGAAAGCTTTTAGCCCTCAACCTACCTCCTGGTGCTTTCTTTTTTTTTTTTTTTTTTTTTTTTTTTTTTTTTTTTTTTTTTTTTTTTTGTTGAAGGTTTCAGCCCCCTTGGATCTGCTGTCTAAGCTGCTGGCTTCCAAACCCACTGCAGTCAAAGTCACTAAAGTTTCAAAATACTAAAGCTAACTTTGCACTTCTTCAGTGAAMCAGTTCAAAGAGTAAGGGCAAAAACATCTCAGCCAGCACTTCTGAAGGAAAAGGTATTGCTGGCACAATATACTAGTGAGTAGCTGAGGCAGAGTAGAAGGGTTAATGTTTTCAGGTAGTGCTACTGACATTGAAAAAATAAATTAACAGCATTAAATTACCCCTGTAATTGCTTTGTATTTCCAGACTTTGAAATAGCTGAAGTTCATTCTCAAATCTTCATCTCCTTTGTAATGTGATGGTTTAAAAGTAAAAGCTTTTAAATTTTGGGGGGAAATTGTGTTTTGTTTATCTTTGTTATYGGTTCTTTTCCCCCAACTGTTGTAACAGAGATGCTGAAATTAATTTAAAAATTACAGCTGTAGCTCCTAAGCATGTATGCTGCCTGGTAAGATGATGACTTGCAAATTTTTTTGAAATTTCTGGTTTAGAAGCCTGTTTGGTTTCTTTCACAATATGTTGGCAGAAAAAAGGTTTTGGTAGTAGACTCTAAAGTGAAGTTTTACGTTGGTATTTAATTTCTTTCTGTCAATATCTTCGGTCAGCTGACATCCTTCCTAAAGGCAACAACTATGGCCACRTATTGCCTAAAAACAAAACAAAATCCTCCAAACAAATAAACCCCAGAGATGGTAAAAACTCTTTTTCTCTATAGTTAATTTTAAAATGAAAATAAAATATTCAGATCTTATTCTTGGGTTGCAATCATTTGTTTGATTCTGCCATTATTTGTGGCTATGTAGCTAGATAGAGTAGCTGTTACAGCCAAACTTCAAGTACATTTCTTGCTCAAAGCTTTAATAATTATTGGCCTAATGTAAATTCATGTAGTGGCAGCATTGTTAAGGTCAGTAAATTAGAAGGAATACCAAGTTTTGTGGTATCAAAATCCAAATCTGCAGTGAGTGTAGACACATGTACTGCATGARATCTCTTTGGGCACATAATACCAGAGGGGACTGCAAGATGGAGACGGAGGAGCTTTCTGCCAAGATTGAAGTTTGATTTTTTTTTTTTGCTTAAATAAGAGAAATTATTTCTTCTTGCACTTTCCATAATTCCTTGTCATAGATACTTTATTTGTTTGTCATTTACATCTTTAATATCTAGTGCAATATTTTTTCTGTTGAAATGTCATTCTTTTTTTATAGCTGGAGCACATGTGCTTTGTAACAGGAAACTCTGGCACTGTTTCTTTTCCACAGCACTGACTTATTAGAAATGACTAGCCTGTTGRGTGAATCCTTCTGAGGAAGAGACATTTTACAGTACAGTTTTATGGTCTAAACCCAAAAGATTTATGTTGGACCATTTTCATATTATGAAAACATATGCTATTGCTTTTGGGACTGTTGGCCATCAGGGYATTAGTTTAGTTCTGATGTTCCCTTAGAAACTGACATGTGATTTGAAAATTATTTTATAGTATCTACAAAAATGTTGATTATGGCTTTTAGTCCTTTATGATCTAATTATGTGTTGGTTGCTGTCATGGTTTAACCCTAGCCAACAACTAAGCATTACACAGCYGCTTGCTCACTCCTTCTCCTCCCTCCCCAGTGGGATGGGACAGAGAAACATAAAAATGAGAAAATTCATTGGTTGAGATGCAGACTTTTTARTGGGACAGGAAAGGAAGAAAAAAAATTAAAATATGCAAAATGAGTGGTGCACAATGCAATTGCTCAC